GAGGTAAAGGCTAAATTTTAAATACCATTTAGAAAATCTCAGCTTCAAATCAGTTTCCTCTTTAATATTTTAAAGTTTGTAGTAAACATATAGGATTCTCGGGATGAAAGCTGTTGCCAAAAATAATAAAGAGGTAGCTGTGGGGCACGTAATGGACCCCCTGGTAATTCAACAGTTAGAAGATGAGGTAAAAATATTCCTCTCCTTAAGTTAAGCATGACACCATGAAGATGTATGGGGAAGTCGAAGAGATAGCCTCAGTACTAGACAGAGGTCACTTTACCCCCAGTGGGTTCCATGTGTGGGCCCCACAGCTGCTATGGACAGCATGGTCGAAAAAGTATCTCTCGCCCTGCACGGAATCTAACCCTGGCTATCCAGCTCATAGCCTAGTCATTACACTGGCTGAGAAGACACGACTCAACAGAAGAAATGAAAGGGATCTGAAGCCCCATAGAAAATAAAAAGAGTTAAATAATTCCAAATTGCATATCCTGAAAAGGAAGGTCACTCTTCTAAAGGCATGCTGCAATAGTACTTTTTGTTGTTCTTGTTAATTATGCCTGACCGTGAGCTGGAGGAGTGCCTTGCCAATAATTAGGCCTACATGATGGCAGATAATTACAGCACATTTCACAATCCCTTGCTGCGTATCACACGCTGAATTTATGGCTCCTTCTTCGGCTGTTAAGTCGTACCCATCAACTTTGTGTCAGAAATGAAATTTAAATAATGGCCAATTAATGTTACACAATGCATCATATATATATAGGCATGTGTATCCTTGAAATTCAGTCCAGAATTCGGAACAAACTTATTATAAAAACAATTCATACGTACGAAATACACAGGCATTACAACAGCGAGACTGTACTGAGACATATACAAACACCACATTTCTACTGAGTCTCAAGGGGTGGGGTGGGGGGGAGTAGTGCAATATTCATAATAAGAATTTCTAAAAATAGAGAATTAAGCATTTCCACTGGTTATAGTATGAAAAATATGCTGCTACTATATTCCTACTTGCATTATCGAGAAATTAATACATTATAAAAGTCACAACTTTTATACGGTTCGCCCACTTTGCACGAAAACTCATACAGTAAAGAATTCTTCCGGTGATATTGTGTAAAGTAACGCTGAAAATGGAAATTTTGTATTCAGGTATTCGGATACCTCAGGAGGCGTAACTGCAGTACAAATATTGATGATCACACCGTGCTGTACTATGACGGTCGTTTCATATACCGCACGTATTTCAATCGTTAATGTTATTACTGTGATCTTAGTCGCATTCTTCCATCTGATATAAACTTGTGTACTACTTTCAATTCCATTTCTGTACTGTGTCTCTGAAAATGATGACATTCAAAATAATATTTCTGTGACCTGCATACCTCCTCGGCACACACAATATCTGGAAACAAGACGATCGCTTCTACTTACCGAGCTTTCCAGACTGAAAAGGTACGAATACAACCAACAAACGACCATGCAATTGAGGTTGGTTCATTTGTTTTCAGTACTGAATCAAATATGGCTAAATGCAATGCACCTACCTGAAGAAGTATTAGAGAAAGTAGCAGATGTAAAATGCTGGCCTTGTAATCCTGGGGTCCCGGGTTCGATTCCAGGCGGTGCCCGGATTTATAACTTGTGTTGGGCAAGGCCGTGGTCTAGGCAACACAAAGTTTTCCTCCGGGGGCTTCCCTGGTTTCTCCGTGGCATCCCAACAATTACTCCATTCACACACTGAAGAAGGCAATGGCAAACCACTTCTGTATCACCTGCCTAAAAAACATATATGAACAGGTCCCAGTCCGAGAAAAGGATGGATGGATCCTGTTCATAACATGTCACCAACCTCCTGTAAAGAGACGGTGTAATAAAGATGAAGCAGATGTAAACCATTTATGCACTTTATAATTTCCCCTTGGTCCAGTAAACACTGCCAAGTGATGAAACATCAGGCAGTGAACGCAATTCTTGTTCTTTTACCAAGCGCTTCAGGGAAGTACACACCACCTGTAATCGCTTTCAAAAGACACTAAAACCCTCAGTTATTTGATGCTCTATAACTCGTGTAACTTTGCTGAAGAATCTTAGTTAACTCAAGAATTAGTTAATCATTCAAACATAAAATATCAGGTCTCACCATCTATTCCCGAGAAGAAAACTGTGCCCACAAACAATGCAGTCTAGTTCTTTTTCTGGGGAACTATAAGCATGTAAATTGATCCTGTTTTGTAGATTTGTCATTACACATCTTGGCACACTGCCATGGCAAGTGGAAAAGTTGCATCGCCAAGAAGAGGGGAGATGCTGGATCGTGAAACGGGGGAGCCGGTGCAGAACTGGCCCAATCAACGCGCCCAGATCACGTGCAGGACCAATGCCGAGACCGGAGAAGTGGAGCAAACCCAGAGTTTCAGTATCCACTCCGAGAGGCGAAGGCCTTTCCAGGTACCCAAGAAAGCTCTCCACGACTACCACAAACTGAAACATCGAACAGACCGTAATGACCGAATGTTAGAACTAGCGAACATGTTCAATGACAGTAATGACACCTTTGAATATTACCACCCTGTGAGCATTGAACACAAGTTCTTGAATGACACCCGCAACATCAGTCCTAT